CAAGTTCTGGTCATTAACCCTTTGTTCTCCACCGCCATCTTCTGCCCAGAGCTCGGGGCGGATCAATCTTTCTTACGAGGTTCCCCACAAAAAGTGTTGACTGCAGCACTGGCAGAGCTGTTTGCGCGCCTCGGCAAATCTTTGCATAGCTTTGCATAGCACAATCAAGCGTGTGGCTGAGATTTGGGATCAGCACATTAGCACAGGCATCTCATGTTTAAGGAACTTATAGGCATAGATGCTCTCGGGTTCCGGGCCCACCCCCCGTTATATCCCCCCCTACCCCAGCTGCTGCTGCGTGGATTGCGGGTACCGCACTTCCCGCTTTCCCCACCCGCCCCCACACCTTATGGTACCCCACTCCTGCCCTGTGCGGAAAGTGGCAATCTGCACAGTAGTTTCCCGCATCATACATGAATTACAAAGCCTAATTATGAGGGTTGTATGGCGATGGTGATGGTGGCAGCTATTCTGTTGATGGTACTGATGATGAAGTTGTGATGAAGATGACGACGACGGCAATGATGATGGTTAGCGGTTAGCATGATGTCAAAATATGTCAAAGATGATCTGATTGTCGACTCACGTCGCCGTCCAGAGCAGCAGAACATCATGAGCAGTACCACCGGTGCCACAGCAAGCAGGAAGATTAAGAGTAACACATAAGAACTTAAGGAACGATGGATGCGGGCGGCACGACCATATTGTAGACATGAATAGTGGTGGAGAAGATCAGAACACGTGCTCGTACAATTCCACGTAGCAGTAGTTGAGTCACTAATCGTGACAACAGGTCCTTGTGTTACACGTGTTGCGTATTCCAGTTCAGGCCAACCAAAGCCTCAGCTAAGAGGGGTGCAGAGCCCACCACAACAATGAAACCACAGGGGTGGGGCCACAGGCCCCACCCCACAGGGGGGGCGGGGGGAGGGGGGGAGGATACCATGTTGTGGGGGGGGAGCGGGGGGGTGGCAGCCCTTCACAGATACCTGCATTACGTGATTGCAGCACTTCGACTGCGCCACCTAGTTTCTGTGGGGCAAGGACAACAGCAAGGCAAAGTCTCCGACAGTGTGACAGCCACCCCACACGCGCACACACACACACACTGCCCTGCCAATGTTCGTTCTGTTCCGGGTGCTCAAGGCTGAAATCTCTGCCTTTCCTGAAGCAAGACAGTGATTGCTGTCATCGATTGATGTGGATGTTAACACTTGGCGTTCGCAACATCTGCTCTTCCCAGATTCGATTCTACGTATCATTTCTTCTACGTTGATCAGCTTGCATACGACGGTGAGAAGATCCTGGAAGGAGAGAGCAACATCAATGCCGAGTGGTTGAACGTCTTCGTTCGACGATGGCAAGCACTCACAAATCTCGATCCCAGCATCTACTAGCTACTAGCTGTTCTAGATGTCCACCTGTCCACCCAAAGACCCCCGCATGGATTGTGAGACATGAAGACACATTGGGACGCGGACAGTTCGGAATTCCTCCTCTCCTCCAACGGAGTTGTACCTCACCACGAAGCACCCAGCAAGTCCCACTACGCAGACCAATCTCGCTGTGCATGCGGCAGAGGTCCGAGTTCGTCGACCTCAATCTGCTCACGCTCCCATATTGTTATAAACTGAAGTTCGGACCCGCAGCTGGCTCAGCTGCATGCTGCAGCCACACTGGCTGCGCGGGCTGCGCCTGCGGCGGTCGCTGCAGGGTAGGACGGCATTGTAGCGCAAGCTGTGTCGGGCCTTGCTCGATGTCGATGGCTGCGAGTTGTCCTCCTGTGCAGCCGCAGAAAAAACCGTGCAGGGTTCCACTCATTCTTCTGAATTGGTAAGGAACCTCTTTCCGTGCAGCACCGAGATCTTCAACGAAGCAAGTGGCGGCTGGAATTCAACTGAGCATGTTCGTCGATTTTACCTTCAGGCTCTGGGGATCCCTTGGGTCTAGTCACAGTCGCCTCGATCGCAAGGCATGTGCTCGAGCATTCTGATTGATGTCTGCGACTTACGCGATTGATTTTGGTCCACCGCCCACTGGCACCGAAACGAAAAAGGATCGTGCGGGGATACAGCATGTTGTAGGGGTGATCTCAACAGGGCACCACGAATGCGCAACAAAGCCCAGGACGGAGAGACATTCTTCTTCTTCAGACTGATCAGCATCGGCTTCTCGACCCCATAACCCCCACTCAACTGTCGCTGAACCCCGGCTTCTGCGCTCCCTAAAGAACCTATACATTGAGAACGCTGCCCCGCAATCGCGACATTGCCAAAACATGTCTCGAGCCTCTGGAAAGATCATGTCGAAAGTACACTTCGAAGTCTGAGGAAATAGGATAAATAGGGCTTAGCTCTGCGGACATGGTATTGCCTCTAGGTGTTCCGTTTTGGTGACAGATAGGTACAGATTGCAGCACAGACAGCAGCACGGCCGAACAACTGCGGAGGTCCAATTCGGAGACGTGTTGCCCAAACCACAAACCGCCCGCAAAGCCTTCTGAAGGGTCAGCGACTTCGGACCGCGTGACAGGCCGCATCAGGCCGCAAACATTGCTCCGACGAGATCTTATCATAGTAGGTCGATGGCGTCCTCTAGGGAGTCCAGCATTCGAAGCAATGCCTTCTGCTTTGTTTGGTCCAGGCGGCTGACCTGGGGAATGTTAAAGCAGGATGCATGCAGGTCGCCGGAGGTAGCAGTGGCACGCGATCGAAGATCTCGGCCACGGTGCCATGGTCATCCCTGCTCTGCAGGTGCAACGTTTGAATTGACTTCTGCATCCGATTGTCGCTGCCCCTGCCCAACTCAACAAGCTGCCTCGCTGGCATTGGCGCGGGTGCCTGTTGTTTGTGAGTAAAGCTGGGGCTGCGTCTCTTGTGGGCAAAGTGAATCCCAAAATGTCCTAAACAACTGCAGCGAGCCCACGAGGTTGTCGATGAGATTATGCGATGTCTTCAACAAAGCCCGGACATGCAGTCAAATTGCCTGAGCAGGCACTGGATCCTTTGCACCTGAGTCGACACGTTGTGAGGAAGCAGAATGGCAACCTTGACATGCCTGGTGCTCCCAGTCCAGTGGGACATCTTCATCTCGGCTAATTGTCTGAAGTTCAACTTGTGGTCTGTACGTCAAGGCCAGGATAGCTGCTGCTTGCATAAGACAACCTGATCTTTCATTCGAATACGTCAGGCAAACATAGTGCCTCAGATGGCTGAGGGGATGCTTTCAACTACTCTTTCAACTCGCGTGAAGCGGTCGCCAACTTCGTCTTGTGTTCTTTCGGTGTCGGGCTCGTCTCGAAACGACCACAAGTGCAAGTGAGGCTCGGACCGGGATAGCCCTGATTGCAAGCATCCAGCGACGATGGTGCCTCATGCAAGGGATGTTTATGATGTTTGTCACTCGGCGGTGATACTCGGTGCAGGACCTAGCCTTGCATGAACCCAGGACTGATGGAGGCGCTGCTTGTGCAGCTTCCTGCAAGGGCGAACTCATGCGAGCTGTGCGCCCGCTGAGACGCTTCTGGCCTCTGGCCCGAGCGGAAGCTTCCGACTCCTTGACCTGTCGAGTGAAGCTGAAGGTAAAGCTGCAAAGCATCCAGGAGTGAACGAGGCAAGGACCGTGAGGATGGTCGTGATCCACCGGACGTAAATCCCTCCCCTGGCATCGGCCTCGAGGACCACGAGTCAAAATCACAAGACCAAGACAAGTCCAAGAGCCCTCGCCTGGAAGCCCGAGCCTCGAGTCTTGATACCACGAAGCACAGACAAGCACAGTATGCACAGTTTTCCACGTTTGGCATTGAATGCCTCCATGTCTTCGCTCAGCTTCTTGGCACGTTCATTCTCCGCCTTGCACACCGACAGGCAGGCTGATTTGGAATACACGTAAGCGCCTAATTGTAGACAGGGAGGGGCCTGTATAGCATCGGCAATGGCTGATGCTGGACGAGAGCCTGATGAGGGCCTCGCAGCGGATTGCTGACAGATCATCGCAACACGTGATGCGAACGTCATGACATGTGAAGAAGGAAGCTCATGGGGAATGTCCTGCTTCCTGCCAGGGGCTCGTTGGCCCGGGAAGAGCTCCTGCAGCGCGACGTGGCTTCCGGGAGACACGACTGACAAATCTGTTGCGATTCAGCCTGCGAGACAAGTCGCCCAGACTACTTAGCTATTCTTAGCTAGGACTCAAAGAGTGAGCCGTACTCTCTGGAAGCCAACGAACGGCCGATGAGGGGCAACGGCATGTGGCAGCGCATTTCGACAGTATTCCGCCGCAGGATCAACGGAACGCCCTGGGGAGCCCGTGGAGCTTCTCAGTCCAAACGAGCTTCAGAACACGATGCTTTAAACTATGCCTTCTTCAGATGGTTTCAAGCGGTCATGTGCTGCCTTCTGGGGCATGCCAGGGGCATCGTGTCACGGCGGGCCGGGAAACCGACGATACTTGCATGAATACAAGAGCACCCATGCATACAAGATCTTACAAATAGCTGCTCCTGCCCGATGTCGATGATCGAATCGGCTGCAGCGGAAGCCCGCTGCCAGCACTCGGAGCCTGCCACAAGCGATTAAGCAACCAAAATCGCCATGGTCCAGCCTTCCTCGCGTGCGACCGACAGAATCTAATCAGTCTTTTGAGCGCAGAGTCTTAGACTTGCACAGTGCCGCTGCGTCACTACACGGTACATCACGGCATGCGATGGCATGCGCACTCCCACTTCGGGTTTCACATATAAGATATGTAGCTGTACACTGCTCGAGCAGTTGTGCCGGAGCATAGGATTTGGCATGGTCTTGTCGGCACTCCTTGAACTTGAAGCCGTACGTAGACTGAGACAGACTTGTGCAGAATTAAACATGTCAGTCGCTGAGAGCTTTCCTGAACCCGTCTCATCTCGTGAAGTCTGCATGCTCCGACTCAGACCCGGTCCAAACCCACATCGTATCGTGCACGGCAGGGGCCGCCATGGCGGGACTCAGCCGATGCTGGCATCGCTATGGCATTGCTCCGGGAATTGGTGCTCCAGAACCTTGTGCGGGAGCTTAAGTCTGTTGCATAAGCCTGACGACGCCGACCCCGACAACAACGACAAGGACGACAACAATAGCAAGCTCCTCGACAACAGCTCATCAACAGCAGCAGCAAGAACAAGAGCAAGAGCATCAACAGCAACAGCAGCGGCAACAAAAAACAACAGCATCAGCAGCAGCAGCAGCAGCAACAAGAAGAAGAAGAATAAGAACAACAACAACAACAGCAACAGCAACAGCAACAGCAACAGCAACAGCAACAGCAGCAGCAGCAGCAGAAGCAGCAGCGGCAGCAGCAAGGCAACAGGGTCGAAAACTGTCCGTGCTTCTGGTTGAGCCCACGACGACCAGTCAGAAGGCCACCCAAAGGAGGAAACCGTGCAGGCCTCAAACGATGTCCAGCTGCGGCTACGAACGGACAAGACATCACTGTGTCAAGATCGACCTCCTCTGGTCGATTGAAACCCACTCGCCGGGTTTTCGCTCCTGCGTCGAAAACAGCACCACAGCGAGACAATGCACAGGTGGAACTGATTCAGATATCACCAGCTCTTGCCATGCAACATCACAGACTCCTGATGTAGGAAACGTCTATATTGTTGCGATGGAGATCGCTCGAAACACGAGCGCTGTGTGAAGTATGTCCGGTGGTCCCTGCAGAACTTGGGAAGAAGCCAATGGCTCTGCTCGGATGACAGGCGGCAGTGGGTCTCTACTGAGCATCGGGCGGATGGCAGTGCTCGTTTATCATTGCAATGCCTGGCTGCACGTGCCCTTCTCTTAGGCTGAGGGCCCAGGGAAACTACGGCTTTGGTCTTCAGATGCCTGCATGCCAGCGGCTGTTCCAGGTTCGTCCCATTCCATCGCGATCCAACCTTGGTGTCCGCAGCTATTGGCGTGTCTTCGCCAACGATAGAAGCCTACTAGCACAGAATGAGATCGCAGCATTGTGCCACCAAACACATGTCTCTGTGGGCAAACCGGAGCGCCAGCATCTGCCGTGATAAATGACCTGGCGAACTGGTCGAGGACATGATCTGGTCACCACAGCCCCCCCTTTGGAGTTTGGTGCTCTTGGGAAGCTCCTCGCCTGGGACGCTGAGGAAGATCGCCTAGCTCAAGTCTCTGAAGAATGCCTTCAGCATTCTTGATCCTCGGGGATCAAATGCCATTCGAGTAGCAAAGCATTCGCAACCACAACTCTGCATGAACCAAGGCGGAGGCGAAGGATTGCTTCGCAATGCCTCCTTCAACTCTGCAAGGGATTCAGGCTTCGAGAAGTAAGTCCGGCGGCCCTGTCGCGAATGGCATTACAGGACAAGCACTGGCACAATGCAGTCAAGCCCGACCTTTGGAACGTCATCGTTGCTCATCCCCAGGAGATGGTGCCTGCGACTGTGGCAACATGATGACAGCAGCCGTGTGGCATGTGGCTTCAAGGTCCTCCAGTTCCAGGGCTCCGCCTTAAAGAGCACAAAGAATTCTAAGGCTTGCGGTTGCGGTTTCATGCATGCACGAGTTTGCGAATGCCAAGACATGCCAAGGCCAAGGGACTGGAGGAGAGCTGGCAGGAGGCTTCGGGAAGCCCCACTTGTCAGTGACCGGCTTTGCCCAAGGCAGGGGCTCGACAAACGGACTCCTCTTTTGTCGTGCTTTTCACGAAGACAAAACGCCACTCCCACTCCGTTTGCCTCTTCAGACATGTCTGCGTTCTGCGGATTGTTGATTTCATGTCCGGTGCCTGAGTGCCAATCCGAGCGACAACAACAAACATGTTGCCAAAATGACTGGAGCTTGAGTGCGCAGCTGAGCTGGATTTCGCCAACGTGGTCACACCCTCGCCTGCGCAGGAACCCTGCACCAGATCCGTACCAGTGCTGAGTGCTTCGACGTCTTCCAACCTGAGTCACATCTGACTCTCGCGTTGATGTTGGCAAGCGGGCCAATCTCCTGCGATTGCGGCTCCTCCGAGCAGACCTAGACGGAGGCATGTGAACAATGCACTGCAAAGAGACAAGGCCACGGACGAGGTCGTGCACGAGCACACCAGAATCTGCTTCATTGTTCACCTGCATATTGGCAAGGCCATGGCATGCAGAAGTGGCCGGCGCTTTTGGAAGTTCTAGCCTGCCTGGTTCTGCTCACCCATCTTGGAGAAGAGGGCAGAGGTTGCTGTCGAGAAGCGGTCGAGTATAAGCCCTTTCCAATGGTCTAGGCCCTAAGCAACCTCCTGGATTCAGGCTGCAATCTCAACAGTAGGATACGCTGCGAGCATGTCATGTATATGCTACATGAGACATCCAGCCCCTTCAAGGTGGGCACCAATGACTTCGCATTTTTCTTCCCGGCAGATTCATGTGCTCTATTTCAGCCAAACCTCCCATAACAGATCGATAGAACAAGCCTTGGCGAGAAGGCGAGTTGATATGCGGCTGCAAGCAATGAGATGGGGCCAAAATCGCACGTCCGCAAACTGCGTGCTGCACTGCAAGCACGCACTAGAAGCACAGGAAATACCTAAAGAACTCTCTCACAGCTGCTGCTTGCGGTTCAAGTAATTCCTGGAGGGGCAGGACTCGCCTGCTGCTCCATCAATGAATCGCGCAGGCGAGAGAGCCTGTGCTGCAGAGCAACTGGCTAGGCCTAGGCATGCCTGGGCTGCAAGAGTGCGCAGTCACACGGCTGACGTAGAACAAGGGCAAGGCTGATCTGCGCTTGCCCCAGTCATCATGAGCAGGACACCCTTTGTTTCCTGCAGGAAGCGTGACCAGGAAAGACTCCAAAGGCTAGTCTCCTTGAGGGACCAGTCCTGGTCGAGGCCAGCGCTTGCGCCGCCGGTGCTTGGCCTGCTGACCTCGCTGCAAGCACTGATGTGAGGACACTGGATTGACGCGAGACCCATCGGGACATTTCTGTTTGCGCCTCCTCCAAATCATCAGGCACATCCTCTGCATCCGTGGCGTCAAATAGCTTTCGTAAATCAGGCCGAACCAGCCACAAGTTAGCACGACATGCTCCTCATGGAATTCGCCGACTGGTGTATCCCTGTTGACCTATCAGCATCTGATCTCGAACAAAGTTCTCAAGATGCTGGAATCGTGTACGTGTAAGTGTGCTAATCTAGTCGGCCGACTCTTTGGAGCCTGGTTGTTTGGCTTGGCGTCATGTGGAGAAGATCGGTAGGTTTCCCCATCCTCGCAGCAGTAATAAGAGCAACTTCAATTTTGCAGTGTGCTCATTCATGCTGCAAGAGTAGAGAAGCTCTTTACTTGGCCATTCCCCAATCGCTCGGGTCGCTTGTTCTGAGTGCATTTCGATTCCTGAAATGCTTTAAGCTTGCTGTGGCAGCGTGCTCGCCAGGCCCTACCGTACTGCTAGACACAGCGATAGCCGCAGGTGCAGGCACTGTGGCACCGCCTGGGATATTTCACGAATTCAGTCTCAGAGCATGCAACTAAATTGAGGCGCCTGTTGGTGCACAAGTCGTTACTGTTTCCATGCACGGCTCCACTCACTGATGTCGTGCTCTCAGCTGCGGCTTCTAGATGGAGATCGTGGAGCATCACGATGAGCCCGACTCTTGCGGTCTCCTGGTTGTCGCTGCTTGGCAGAATGCGCCCTCAGTCTACCTAAACAAGTCCTGGGAGATGGTCAATATCAAGCGTCAGCATTCTTGCCTCCACGTCAGTAGGTTGGATTGTGGACTTGTGCGGCGCAGGATGTGAACGATATACTTGCCGACCAGAACCAAGAATGACCTTTCAAGAATGTGTTCGCTTAGTATCGCTAAATAATCCAAGTCCACTAGTATTCAGACGACCGTGTCAAACCAACATAGAGCATGTGCGACATACGCTGGACAATTGGAATCATCTTGTCTACTCTTGTCCGCTGGACTCGCTTCGGCGGAACATGCCAACTGTGCCGCCACTGCGAAGCTCTCAACACAGTCGGGCCTGCGAAGAGTGGCTCAAATCGCTGAACGCCTCTGCATTCTGCTAGCACAACACCACTGTCTTGTGTGCTGGCGTAGCAGCAGCTGTCGCGCGTAAGAAACGCAGGTCCTGCCTGCTTGAAAGTTGCAAGCTGCTTCCCGAAACCCACCACGGCGCCCTCCACATCAGTGACATGCTCGGCGCCTTTTCGGAGGTTTTGCTCCAGCGATCCGACCTTCGTTCGTGTTTCCATGCAACACTGCGCATGTAGTGGGCAAATGATGGCAAATGTACCGAAGTCAAAGACATCTCGCGGCACAGGGCCTTCCCCTTCAGAGTCAACACAGCATCGCCCAAGCGTTGAAACTCTGCCATGGACACTTTCTCCTGCAACAGGGTTGCTGCGCAGCCTTCAGCGACAGAGATCCATAGACGACCTGCATGTTGTGGTCCATGGCTGCTGTTTGGCCCTTCAAGCTTGTAAGCGCCCCTTCCAGAGCCTGGCAGTTGGCAGTGGGAAAATGCTCATCTCTTCATCTCGTAAAGTCGGCTTGCTTTCGAGTAAACGTACAGTGGGGTTTTTGCCGGAACTGCGACGATTTGCCAGTGCTTGGAAGGTGCTAGCAGCTAGCACGCCGCACAAGACTCCGACAAAAGCTGGCACAACTGAAACTTCCAAAAGACACACAATGGCACCAAACGTGGTAACGGAATGCCCTTGGGCGTGACATGGGTTCACACAGTGCGAGCGCGAGCTCGTCCAATGCCGAATGGGCCGAAGACTGTCGTGGTTGCAAGACATGTCTTGAGCCTTGCAACAGACGGGCAGGAGAATGCTCTATGTGTTTATCGTGGGGACGAGGGGAAGGAAGATTTGAAAAACAAGCTGAACGCCGGCAACCTCCCCCAACCCCCACCCAGCACAGTGAACAACAAGAACAGCTGCCCACCCGGTGTGCAGCATCGGTTGGGCACGTGGTGTCAAACGCCTCAAAGCGCAAATGAACGGATTTATCTATGCATCTATGTTGTACCGAGACCGCTTCGATAGAAAGGGGTGGGGGTGGGGTTGTTGTTCGTGGATGTGGATTTGGCGAACAACAACCCCGGAACAACAACAAGGGGGGTGGGGGGGGGATTGTTACTGGAGCACAACAACAGGAGAGAAACGACGAAGGGGGGGGTTGCTAAGGAACAAGGGTTGTTGGGGTTGCTGTTGGCAACAATAGGAAGGGGGTTCTTCAATAACAGAGGATGAAACAGAAGCGAGGGGGTTGTTGTTGTCAAGAACAACACACATACACACATGCTAACATGGGATGCCAAGAGCGCGTGCGTGAGACGGACCAAACACAACAGATTGCCAGCAGGGCAAAAAGTCAGCGTGATCGTACATGCCGGTGTCTGCACAAGCGAATCCGTCAAACTTGCCGCAGGACTCCACCGACATGCACAATGTGACGTCGGCTCAGGACGTCTAGGAGGGTAAACTGGTGCATATGCGGACGCGTGCAATACGTTGCGGAAAACAAACGACGTAGTTCTACTTCTGCCTGTTTCCTGGCCTCAGGCCGAACAGCCGGGGCCGAACTACGCGACGGGTGCGCGGCCGCAGTCAGCGCCTCGCTGGACACGTGCTGCGACGCAATAGTTATTCAATAGCAGGAGGGAGTACTACCACTAGCAAGAAAACAACCACAACGGGAACTGCCACCACTACTACGACAAACGTCAGTAGATGAGAAGTCTTGGCGTCGCACCGTGGAGGGGGGAGAGCAACCACTACCACTGCCACTGCCACTGCCACTGCCACTACCACTACCACTCACTACCACTACCACTACCACTACCACTAATTACTACTACTACTACT